CATTTACCAACTACTATAAACTCAGTTTAAACAGAACTACTGCGTCTGGAGAATGACGCCCACTTGCATATCTTAATACGTAACACTAATATCTGTTTATTGAAAACGATTTTCTTTAGCCTGCTAAAATGCTACTTTTATGCTTATTCTTTTGAGACACAAGGTTTAGAGAAGTTTTTAAACAGTAATCTCGGCACTCAACTTTCAGAAATAATCTGTTCAATATGCCAACGGATTTCATTTTTATACTTGCTAAAAGGATCTTTATTTTATAGTCCAACCATGTCATTCCTGTATGTAGATGAAGGGAGATAAGGCGATTCATATTTCAATGCTACTTAACCATTTCACCTATGAACTTCTCACTTTGTAAACTAACTTCGTATGTCTACTAGTTTCATATTCTGATTCGGTCTTGATTGGAATTTAACATTCAAAAAATATAATTCTGTTACCGATTCAAGTGATATGACACCGTAGCATACTGTATTTGTGTTAGGTTCCCTTTTAAATCAATGTATATATATATACAAGGTAACCAAGACCTTGACCAGCCTTACAAATGAAATCCAAGATGTTAGTGTTATGCTGAACAACTAAGTTATTGATTTGTTTGCTTTCAAGTGGTTCAAAAAATTTATATAATAGGTCAATACAGAAGTGTATTTGTTCAATTTAACATACTTCGGAAGGTAAGCACAAGAGAATCTTGAAGAAGAAAGAAAAGACGAAAGAAAATCACGAAATGAAACAACCTAACAGGTAGTGGCTTCAGATTAAAGTGCTATAAGATAAGATATCTGTTACATAGAGTAAACCGAATAGTGAGGGCTCATGTATCACCAGCTTTCATCCTCATCAGCCGCCGAATAATAAAAAAACAATTTGCCAGCTATATATATAATACAACAGTGGAGCTCATAGTTAGGGTAAGGTAACCTTACAGTCTTCTACACCGTAAACGCTAACATAGAGGACACTGGATAAATATGTTTTCGTCTTAAAGAGTATTAGTAAGCAGTCACATTGGGTAAGTAGTTCCTATATTCCTAATTTAAACACCATCCAGCAGACAGTTCTGTGATATATAAGTCAATAAGAGGAAAAGGTATTATGATCTGAACAGTAAGTATGCTCAATCTACTCCTGAACCCTTTTTTAATGTGCACAGAAGGAAGAAAGTATCTACAAACACTAATATGCGACGCTTTATTTTGGAAATAATTGAAATATTAATGTATCTGGAAACAAATAGAGGTAAATTTAGTTTATGTTTTATACCGTAGAAATTAGTTTAATAATACGGAGACAAGGTGCAAAATCCTTGGTGATACAACAATTCACTGGATACTGTTGTAAATCAACGCCAACTAAAGTGGCTGGGATAAAAATTGAGAGTTTCAAACCATTTCCTACTCTGATTTTCTGTGTAGGTCGGGGTTAAAGTGATTCAGTTCATTTAATGATTATCGTGAAATCGTATACACCAATAAATAAAAAATGATACCCTTTACACAGGAGATGGCACTAATGATTTACTAGTCTAGTGGACAACGCTCTGGTATTTGAAACGAAGACTGTTGGCCTAAAATCCCAATGGAAACATTATGATTCATTGGAATGGATGTACACCTACTTGATGAGCTCCAAACAACCGAACGGCGTATCCTGGATTCCACTGCTAGCCACTACTATGAAAAATTTTATCAGGAAGTAAGATTAAATTGGAAGAAATTTAAGTGTGTCAACCAGATAAATACGTGATACAAAACCATAAATTTACTGACTGCTTGTTTGTAACTTGTCGGAAAGTGTGAGTTTTGTGTTTGGTATAACTGAAATGTTAAAGATCAAATATTCAAAAGTGTAGTGGTACATCTTGAAGCTTATCATTCTGATCTATGTCTACTTATCGTGGTCTTAATGGTGAGTATTTTATTATTTGTTACTTCTAATCTCTGGTTACTATACGCGGTCGAATGGCTGTACCACTGTTGGGAGGTGGGCTCCTATGCAGATACCTCGATACTACCTTGTTACTAAATATGTTGTTGTCTCCTTGGTGGCTAGCAGTGGAATCCAAGATGTGCGTTACTTTCTATTTGGGACTCTTCAGCTGGATGTGCCTGCACACCAGTGATGTTGCTCCCATTAAAACTCGAATCCAGTACCAATCGTTTCTAAGGCCAGAGCGTTACCTACTATGCCACTGGGATATGACAGTCAACTCTTGTGCAACAGGTATAAGTTTTTGTTTGAAACTTGTAATCTCCCGGTGAACATTTCATTTCTTCCCAGCTATTTGCTTTCTCCACTACAGCTATTGTGAAGTATTACAATCTGAAGTATTGAAGCTTCATGAATGCTATGCGACAATTTGTTTTCTTGGTTGCGTTGTGTTCTCTGAGCTAGCTGGTTCAATGATGAAGCTTTAGTTGTTTTTCTGGACAACATCATTAGCACTAACTTCAGTATGAAGTGAGATGTCAATATCTCTTCGTTAGCAGTTCAGTAGCTTGCCCTGTTCACTTTATATAGAAGTCAGTGGTGACGATGTTGATTAGAAACACAATGAAAGCCTCATCAACAAACCATCTAGCTTAGAGAACGCAATACAACCAAGATCATCCACTTAAGCTACAAATATTCTCCACCATTTTGTTTTCTGTCTACCGGTATGTAAACTGAGATTGTAAATGAACAATATTCCATCACCCTAAGTATACGGAAATCAGTATCAAGAATTCAGAATTCCAGTTAAACAGATTAGAATGTTTTTGCATGCCACTGTGTTTTTCCTTCAGCTTATGGTTAAGATATTAAGAATTTAATTCATTTTGATTTACTAAGAAAAATGACATTTCTCTATGTACTTCAACTATTTTTTCTACAGATATATCATATGTAGACGCACAGCAAGATGAAAACTGTAGACTTTTTCATTATTTAAGTCGTTCTTCAGTTTAGGGATAAATCAACTCAATCCCTATTAACTTCTTTATTTATTTCACTTATTCTATTACCATCCATTGCTAGATGAATAGTATGACTAGTAGTGAAAAGATATAAGATCTGTGAAATAGATCTTTTGTAATGACTGAACTGAAAAATCTTACTTTTGTCTCCTCAGCATTTTCAGTTTCTAGTTCGCATTATATTCATACTTGTGTTTCTATCATCTGTATTCCTTAATATTGGTATATTATGTAGGTATATTCATGTATTACTGCTAAGTCATCTATTCGAGACCGGATTCAGACCATAATTCAGACACGATACAGTCTACTATAGTCCACTTGAGAACAACAAATCGCCACCATTCTCATCCCAAGCTACAAAGCCTTTCCATGGTTTCATTGATCATCAATTTATCACGCACGCACATGCATCGGCTACGACGCAAATATTAAAGGGAAGAAGTAGGAAAAACTCTTTGACGGTGAAAGGAAGCAACTTTGATAGGTGCAGAAATCTATTTATCTCAGAAGTTTGGTTCGTAATGTAATCTTAATGGTGTAGTGTTCACTAAGCTGAATGACTTGATTGTGAAGCTTTCACTGTCTTTTTAGACAGCATCATCATCAGTATTACCTTCAGTGTGAAATCATACTGGTCAGTGCTAATGATGTTGTCTAAAAAAGTAATAAAAGCTGCATGAACAAACCATCCAGCATAGAGAATATTACACCGTCAAGAACATTTACCTGAGCTAGAAATATTCTGTATCAGATTTCGGGATCACATTTATCAATATGGTTAGATAAACTTAGAAGTATTTGAATAAGTCGGTCAGAATTTACTTTCTTATATATGAACAGTAGTAACAGCTAATTATCAACATCTATTTGTTCTATGAAAGTAACGAGATGAAAGCCCACGTTGCGTACATTGCAAACGAAATATATCGATCTCTGTCGACAAATGTACTCTTTATAGAACCACAAAGTTATTGTGCTAACAGTCTATCAGGCACATACGATCCAAACTTTACGTTTTATTCTGTTTGGATTATGTTGCTGGCAATCTTTATGTTTGTTGAGATGAGTTTACACTTAGTAGATGAGTATCAACCAAAACTTTATTAATCACAGAACCACTACTCCGTATAATGATTAATTTTACTGCAGTCATAAACGGTTTTCAATTCCATAGTATACGAATAACATTCTACTGTTTAGAACCTTGTGAAGTCGATATTAAGGTAGAGAATAAACAAATTGACAATTAGCAGCATTCGATCAGAAAACAATGAGTGTGTAGATTACATTAAGCTACTGAATGCATTTGACTCCAGGTATCATCCAAATTTACTGTATATTGATAAATACTTTGAACTGTACATGAAGAAGCAGTTTTATCACTCTTTTGCCTCTGCTGACGGAATAATCACATAAATCGGTGCAGACTAAGGAAACAGATAAGTATAAGTTCCTGGTTTATTTTTATCCAAAAACTGTATAATTTGATTTCAAATGGAAAAGATTTGTAGCTTAAGATGAGAATGATGTTGGTTAGGTGTTCTCTGAGCTTTAGTATTTCGTCATGAAAGAGAATGTGCTGTAGAATGAAAGTACTGGTACCGGCGAAGTTCTCCCATTTCTGAGAACTTAGAAGTGAGTTGCGCTTAAAAGAGTTTCAAAAGGTGGAGAAGACTTGTAGCTTAGGATGAGGATGACATCAAGGCTCACTGATCACCGAAATACCATCAGTTTGATTTCAGCTGTACTCCATTATGACCTATTACCAGTATACTACTTTATTAACTAAGCAAAATATGTTAAAATGGGTGCTGCGTATTTAGCACAAGGAATGTATTTCCCTGTACTGCATATGCTACAGTTATGCAATAGGAATAAAATGAACTTAATATCACCATGTTTAGCTTAATAAATCGATTAAAACAAATAAGCTGTCAATTAAAAAGTACCAAACAAGAACAGATTTTGAAAAAAGAGATTACTAATCTTGCAATAAATAGGTTCAAAGTTTTTTATACTTACTATCAGAAATTGAACCACTAGGTGATGAGAATACTACAGGATAAGAGTTATTTGACATCTGTGAATGTTTCAAATATGTCTTGGTACATTCATCAATTTGCAATGATAAGAAGTTATGATCACAGCTCTTAGAATTGTCATGACAATGTATTTCATCATCAGTTATGTCTGTAGTTTGGTCACTATTTGCAATAATCGATTCAATTGAAAATGCTGACGCTTTCCCTGATAATTTCGATAGTAAACTATGATGATGAATGGGACTAACATCTTGAATTTCTCGACTGTTATTTAGGCCATTACTTTTAACGTGATCATCAATAAGAGTTGTGGAAGTGAATAAAGTATTTTTCACCATCGAACCAGTAGATATGTGATTTTCGATGGACTTTTGTAATAACCCTTTTTCCTCAGTGTTCTTCTCCCTTGGCAATATTGAATATTTATCAGTTTCTGTGATTAAATGGTATTCAGACGCCGTTGATGTTGACAAACAAGGTATCTGAGTTCGGCATAAGCGTTTCTGTTTTATTGATCTGTGAATAGGATTACTTATTAGTTTACGTTTGTTTGTGAGTGTATGCGATGATGATAATGATGCTGACGAAAAATCTTTCATACGATTCATTTTAAATTTGTATGACTGCCTGTATGAATTACCATGTCCATGACTACATCTTGAAGGATTTCTTAAAAATGTACTCGGTGATATTGTTTTCGTGGTTGACATAACTGGTAGTGGATTGTGTATAGAGTGCTGATGATCTTGTAGATTATGATATTCCATTGCCTTTTGGAAAATCATCGACTGTTGATCAGATTCTGTAGCACACAGCTTATTTGAATCACACGGTAGAATATAATGTATCGAGTTTGATAAACAAATTGAATCTGTTGAATCAGAGATGAACATAAAATTATCTGAGTGATAAGAAATTAAGTTAAAACCGCCGATTTAACTGATACCAATTTGATAGGATAGGTGAAAAATTGTTTACACACATTATTTACATGATTATATGTGTCTTAGATGGTTTGTAGGAGTGTGTATGCATGCAGTGGGCGGAGATGTCAAGTATATGTGTCACTGAGGGTGTGAAGTTGACTTTTCTTTTTCACTTCTAACATATCCCTTGAAAATTAGTAAAAACACTGAAGAATTCTGTCCCAATATCAAAATCTTTCTCACTTGTCGGTAAACTAGTCTACACATTTCCCCTCAATCTTGTTTATATGTCTACGCTGTTTTTCCTTGGAAATTCTATTTCTGACCCCTTCACACTTTTATTCACTCGCCCTCTTGCTTTCTGTGTTTCAAAATTCTAATTACTAAACATGCATTTTCACTCACACACCATATCATCATCTTATCAGTCACTGAAAGGTAACAGATACTACGCTGAAATGATATTTGCCTGCTAAAGTGAGGCGGACACTAACTCAACGGGTTTTGGCTGATAAGTGGATAGAAAGACAAACTACAAATATTTTCGCCTTGTCACCATTTCTTTCTTCACCCACTGTTATGAACAAACGGACAAGTGGAAGACGCATAAATACAATATTAAACCAATCATATTGTGGTAACATACACCAAAGTGTGTATTGAGAATTTGAAGCTATGTGGACAGACAATTTAGCAATAATGACAACAAAATGGGCTTGATTTCATATAGGTGTTTGTAAACCGTTTCCTCACATACATACACTGTAGTGCAGACACTGTTTAAAAACTGTACGTGAGTTCTGTTTTCAAGATTCCCTTAGAAAAGTGAACATTAACAGTGATTTACGAACTTTAATAAAGGAAACAGGAAAACAGCAGCAAAATTTGAACACTCACACTTCGCGAACTTTCTTCAACTGCTTTGCAGCATATAATGTTTATGATTTTCTTCGTGGTGGCTAGCAGTAGAAGTCATAGATATGTCTATAGTTTACAAAATATGCACCATATTAGTGTCATTGCTTGTATTACACCATCGTTGATTGGACCGAATTGATCAGTCTCTGTTGACATATGGGCTCCTGTACGGATCCCTCGATATTGCTCGTGTTCCTAACCATATAGTGATGATGAATAGTGGCTAACAGAGGAATCCAGGATGCACATTTCGTCTTATTTAGGACTCGTTAGCTGGATGTACCTGCCGGCTCCCAGTGGAAACAACATCATTCACTGGGAGTCGGCAGGTACATCCAGCTAACGAGTCCTAAATAAGACGAAATGCGCATCCTGGATTCCTCTGGTAACCACTATCTATCATTACTATATACACCATATTGTTATGATATTTCAAGCATGTATTGATTGAGATTGAAGACAATATTGATAAATTGTGATCAAGATTAATGGAATTGGATGAGATTGTTAAGACTTCAAAGAATAACTGCCTACAGTATGATACAGGCAGATACCTGAAGGTGATGTGAAAACATGGACATTGGTAGAACTTCAACCGGCTACCTTACTATTATTAGTCTCATAACACAAATAAAAGTGATAATTTACTTGGTTGTGGCTAGCAGAGGAATCCAGGACAAGCGTTTCCTTCTCTTTGGGACTCGCCCGCCAGATGTATTTGCGCCCCAGTGAGTACTGTTGTTCCCATTGAGATTGGAACCCATTACCCCTCTCTGCAAACACCAAAGCGTTATCTACTAGGCCATTAAGGCACAAGAGGCACCTCTTGCACAACGGGTGGCAGCTGATGTTTGTTACTTGTAATTTCCCGTTTCTATATAGGGTCGAAGCCGAACACCTTGAGTAGAAGATGTGGTTGAGTTTCGTCTCCTTAAGGCCTTCAAGTAAAACAGATGTATAGATTTCGTTAGGCAGCCAGATCGAATGAGATCAGATCACCTGATGACCGTTTTCACTCGTTTGAGGCCGAATCGATTAGTAATGTGCTTGGACGAATTCAGCTCATACATTCAAATTACTTCAAATCACGTGAATTTGTCTGGCTAGCTGACTTGCATGGACCGGTGTACTTAAAACATGATGATGAATTTTGCAAATGGTTTACAAATTGCACAGTCCGTGTTGACATTTCTCACGGCTAAGTGGCTGTTCAAATGCCAAAGTGTGAAGTCAATAGTTTGCGTTGGAAACCACCCAGATGGAATAACAAGATGTGATCTCTGACACAAAAGTGTTATGAACTAACGAAAGATACTACTAGTGAACAACATGAGTAGCTAGAAACCACTCACACCAACCTATAGGTTTCACCAGTCAGATCGGAGTGATCTAAGCACCGGATGACCGTTCCTCTCATTTGGGGCCGAGTTCATCAGCGATTTATTCAAGAAAGTTCAGCTCATAGAACCGAATTAGTTCAGATCATTTGATCTCTGTGCCAAACGACAAAAGCGAATGTCCGATGTTTAGATCATTCTGATGTGGCTGACAAAATACTACAGATCAGTCTGCTGCTATATGCATATATGATCCCATGAACGTCTTTGGAGTTCAAAGGGGTCAGAAAGTGGGTTAAATCACATTATGTAAATGAACATGATGCACTAATTATTTCAGTCATAAACACCATAAATATGAATATTAGTCCACCAAGCTAAGTTGACTTGAATAATCCAATTTCATGTTGCTACATTGGATCTAGATGATTAAACTTTGTTGACATTTTGAATCTTATGTGAATGTCCTGGTATTGCCTGAATGTTTATTATGTAATAATTTACTTGTTGGTGCCTGGTAATATAGTCAATGATCCACCGTTCGTCGTATTAAGAGCCCATTAGATGAATGTAACTGCACTCTAGAGAGTGGTGATATTCTTAATGAAACCCGAAGCCACCAATCTTCTTTCCAAAACAATAGAGTAATTTTTACTAGACTAGTATGTCACTGGGTCGCCTGTTTTACGACAGGTATCATTTGTTAGTTATTTATACTTATAATTTCCATTTCTAATACTGGATACAGTTGATCGAGCTTTGTCGGCAAATGAAATTATTTGCTGAGGCCTTCACAAGTATAAGTAAATAACAAGTGATACATCCTGCAAAACTGGTAGAGCGAATTTCACCTGCTGAAAACACTATAGTATGATGCAGATGTGGATGTGATTACAAAGTCACACTTCACAGTCTTTGAATTTTATTAATGAGTGTTAAGTTTGATTCAGTGTCTACGCTCGATACTGAAGATCAGATGGCCAGAAAGAATAAGCAACAAGGGACTCTGGGAACGAACCAACCAAGAACCCATCGCCCAACAAAATATGCAGAATTTAAACAGCGTAATGAGAAGACGAAGATTATCTGAAACATGTGATGTATTAGCGCTATACATTTCGAACAATCTGATCACACATAGACTTGTCGAACTATTTATATGAAAATTTACGAAAAGGTCAATGAAGTTAATGGGAAACATATGCAGAGGGAAATGGAGATGGATTGGGCATACACTGAGAAGACCGATTGGAGACATCAGGCGCCAGATCAGGTTGTCGAGTGGAATCCATATGGGAAACGACGAGTTGGGTATCGGAAGTCAGGTTGACATGGAGGAGATCATGTGAGGAAGGGATGAAAGCTTGTGGGCAGTCGTGCAGCCAGGTTCAAAAGATTGCAGAGAACAGAATGGAATGGAGACGTGCTACTGAAGCCCTATGTTCCACTAGGAACCCAAAGGAAAAAATATATAATAATGATAAGTTTGATCCTGAGTTTGGTTGATAATTATTTTTCGTTTCTCTAGATATAAACAGTGTTAAAGTCATTTAAAAGCGTACAAGTTTTTCCAGAATAATTCTAGTTCATAAAGAATAAGCTGAAGGTTTACTCAAAAAAATTTCATAAATAGTTTTTATCCTGTATATAACAGAATTTAAATGCCGGTCACCAAACACTTATGACCCAAAACTGATATTCACCGCAATCGTTGAACTTATGAATAATAAAATGTTGAACACATTCCTATCGAGCGAGTCGATAACAGAAACATTGAAACATTTTTGCCGAGACAGAGTTTTGCAGAAGTAAATAATAAAGAATAAGAACTATCTGCAGTATACAAAACATTTATGAAGTGTTTTATCATCTAGAGTAATTGAAGTGGCGAACACCACTACCATGAGCAGCAGTCGTAAGATTGAAATAGGTGAATTAGCGCTGAGTATATGACACTACTCATACAGTTAGTGGAGACATCTGGTCACGTAGCATCCATTGATTGATCACGCTGCATTTATTTTGTTCACCTTTCTCTTTTCAGTCTGCAATGCTATTTAGCCGGTTATTATTTTTATTGCTGTTATAGTATTTATTGTAGATAGAAGACTTCAGGAAATCGAAGAAAATGTAGCAACCACCTGCAAATATTAGTAATTAATACAATCAATTACTTGATGGTTGAAAATGAGTTGACTTATCATGATATTCCTTCTTATGATAACACTTTGTGTATCTTTTAACTATGGCTGTTTATACTGCTCTTTTTGCTGTAGAATTCTAAACCACAGATACACTCCATGTGGTACTGTTTTTTGACAGCTGGTTACCGTTTAGTAAATAAAACCAGTTTGTTTTGAAAAAATCTTCCTTGATGATCCGTTTCACACTTACGTCTAATGATGAATATACCATTCTTTAAACATTTATATATACCCACGTGCATATGTTGGGAATAAGTTTGTTTGTCACAAATTGTCAAACAAATCATCTGATGATATTTGACATTCATTTTCCTACTGGTTTGCATCGTTATCACTTTATTCACCTCATCTCTTACTCTTATTATCCCAAACTTAACCTTTTTGGTTAAACCGCTGTTGGTAATTTAGCATAGGGTTCATATTTTTCGGTAAACACGTGCCATTCATTTTGTTATTAATGTATGTTTGTGCTCATAAAAAAGTTCATTGTTTCTTTCCCAATTAAGAGGTACTTATCCTGAAAGTCATTTAGCTAATAAATTTTCTTCAACTAAGAGGTATGAAAGATGATATGATATCCAACCACTAATTGCACCTGCACATACATATTTAAGTAACGAGAAAGAGACAGACGAGTGAGTTATTAATCATTTTCTCTTTGAGCATACGTCTGTGAGATATTTTGGTTGATTTCATTCGAACGGGTATATATATATATATATATATATATATATATATATATATATATATGTCAGAGCGAAACTAAGGATATGGATAACGCTTTGGCGTTTGAAGCGATGGGTACGAGGTCCGAGTTTCAGCGGGTATAACACCACTCACTGAGCTGTAGGTACATTCAGCTGGCGAGTCCCAAAAAAGACGAAACGAGCCTCCTGCATTCATTCGCTAGCCACAAACAAGTCAAGTATAGTCATTCGCTGCTCGACGTTCACATCTATCAATTAATGATTGCTTCTCTACTGATGTGCTGTTCATATTCTATGAAAAACTTAGCCGTTCCTAGCATTTTATGCCTAGTTTCATTATACACTTAATATGAAGTATTCTTGACAAAAAGTT